AATAAATCCACGTTTCAAAGAAAGCAAAGTTTATTTCAAAGCATTGGAAAGACACTCAAACACGTTCCTTGTTAGAACTGGGTACAAGCAGTTAGGGCAGACATGATAAAGGGATTCAAGTTAGATACATAACCAATGGATAACGTTCCCGCTGGCGGGCAGGAGAAAACGGCTGCGCGCTCAGGTCCTGGGAACCAGGCGAACAGTAGACATAACACAGGTGCAGTTCTCAGGCTTGATAAGTAACAAGCTAGCAGCGAAGCATACTCTCCCCCTCACATCCTCCAGTTGTTTTACTTTGGCATTACAGCAGGAAAACACAATGGCCAGCTGGCAGGGACAGGGATCACATATGTACAAACAGAAGTCACACAGAACACCATGGCAGCTTGCTGACACACACCCACCTTTTACTTCTTATTCTGTTTACTTTGTTGTCAAAACTGGGCTTTTTTTGTAGCAGGAACTTCTTTGCATGTTAGGCAACACACCTCTAATGTAGCCAATCCTAATGAGTTTATGCTGTTAGGTGTGGCCTACTATGCTAATGAGTTCCTGCTGGGCATGGCCAACTCAGGAGCCAGACGGAACTCCGTTCCTGTGCGTTCCTGCCCAAAAATAGCCCAGTTTTTCATTATATCGTTCGCCAAACTCTTAACTTCAATACCATGTCTCACCTTATTATATTTATGCATGAAACTGCCTAGATGATGGAAAGAAAACAAGGGATGGGTTTGTGTAGGAAACCTATACCACTATTCTACCATCAGAGGTCCCTGCTTTATAATCAGTCCAGATGAAGAGAAATCAGTCCCAGAAAACCACAAATGTCCCCTTTTTAAAGTTTGCTTGGATTTGTGTATAAAGAGGATGTCTTTAGTTTTAACTGGTAAAATTTGGTTGGACTTAAATACCTCTGCAATTAGAAAAGCAATTATAACTAAGAAGAGAGCAGTGTAATCTATGCTTTTTGTGCCTCCGAGGAACATGATTGCTTTTCAAGACCCTCCAAGTAGCAATATATTTATCTACAAAAAATGTAGTACAAAGCAGATTGGTCAATGCCACTCACAACATCTAAGCTGGCATTTTCCCTAATGTGTTGCAGCCGTGGCAGGATTAAAGGACATAAGGGTCTTTCCTGTCCTGAACTACAGATTTCTTAGTCAAGCTTCATCCTTTCTCTGCATTAACCCAGGCAAGTCCTTAGTCCATGCATCCTTCCTTCCCATCTCCTTCAATGTAGTAATTTGTTCTTCTTGTTAGCCAAGCTACTGGTACGTAGGGGAGCAGTCTTGCACAAATGCAACAAGGAGTGTGTCTCACTGAAATCAGGACTCTATTGGTAAGGTCAGAGACCTAAGCGCAGTGCCTCTCAGAGTTTTCAAGACCCCCTAGTCTTGGACTTGGCTGTTCCACATACCAGATTTGC